GCAGTCTTCCTGGTTTTCCCACACCGCCGTTCCCCATAGTGCCGCTCTCCCAGTCAGCAGCGTTAGCACGAAAGCCACTTTAGTTCTTTCCTCCCGGAAGGTTCTGGGCTGGAGAGAGAAATGCATGGAGCATCTAGTTAGGAAAGCTCGACAAAAATTGGGTTCACCTGAGTATGTCTCTGGGGCTGGTAATCGTGGTTCCGACTGGGAGGGGTCCACTGGTGGTATTTGGGGAATCGGCGGTGGGACCGGCGCAGCGGGAATACGCAGCTGTTGGACTTGCTGGGTGAGCCCGGACACCTGCGCCACTAACGCCTGAACAGCACGAGCGGTGTCGTTGATACTTCTCTCTTGATTCTCCATCCGCCGTCTGCTTTTATTGACGAAATCCTCCAACGTCTCAGGATTGTCACTCGCTGCTTCCATTTCTGGTCAGATCGTTCTGTAACGTAAGAACTATGGAAGCAATTGCAAGTAACAATATTTATTGGAAAACTCAGAACACAGTCCACAGACAGGCAAGGTAGAAAACTCAGTACACGATCCACAGACAGGCAGGTAAGTGGCGCAGGGACTCGATGGTCAGATGGATATAGTGCAGGTGAAGTGAGGTGACGATCAACAAGACGAATCCAGAACATCCACAGGGAACAGACAGGAACAACGAAGGATACTGGAACGTAGAGGGATCAAACACCGGACATCACAAACAACGATCTGACAATGGAGATGAGAAATGGGTGAGATTAAATAGACCGGGATGATAGACTGCAGCTGGTGATGAGTGATTACTGAATGAGCTCTGATGAGCAGCCACACCCCTCTAATCAGCACACACACACATGTAACAACAGAAACACGAGACATGAATGAGACATAGGATTTACCCACCGTGACAATATGGGCCAACATTTCTAAAGAATGCTTTAAGCACCTTGTTGAATCAATGCCACGTAGAATTAAGGCAGTTCTGAAGGCGAAAGGGGGTCAAACACAGTATTAGTATGGTGTTCCTAATAATCCTTTAGGTGAGTGTATATATACACTCACCGGCCACTTTATTAGGTACACCTGTCCAACTGCACGTTAACACTTAATTTCTAAGCAGCCAATCACATGGCGGCAACTCAGTGCATTTAGGCATGTAGACATGGTCAAGACAATCTCCTGCAGTTCAAACCGAGCATCAGTATGGGGAAAAAAAGGTGATTTGAGTGACTTTGAACGTGGCATGATTGTTGGTGCCAGAAGGGCTGGTCTGAGTATTTCAGAAACTGCTAATCTACTGGGATTTTCACGCACAACCATCTCTAGGGTTTACAGAGAATGGTCCGAAAAAGAAAAAACATCCAGTGAGCGGCAGTTCTGTGGGCGGAAATGCCTTGTTGATGCCAGAGGTCAGAGGAGAATGGCCAGACTGGTTCGAGCTGATAGAAGGGCAACAGTGACTGAAATAACCACTCGTTACAACCGAGGTATGCAGCAAAGCATTTGTGAAGCCACAACACGCACAACCTTGAGGCGGATGGGCTACAACAGCAGAAGACTCCACCGGGTACCACTCATCTCCACTACAAATAGGAAAAAGAGGCTACAATTTGCAAGAGCTCACCAAAATTGAACAGTTGAAGACTGGAAAAATGTTGCCTGGTCTGATGAGTCTCGATTTCTGTTGAGACATTCAGATGTTAGAGTCAGAATTTGGCGTAAACAGAATGAGAACATGGAACCATCATGCCTTGTTACCACTGTGCAGGCTGGTGGTGGTGGTGTAATGGTGTGGGGGATGTTTTCCTGGCACACTTTAGGCCCCTTAGTGCCAATTGGGCATCGTTTAAATGCCACGGCCTACCTGAGCATTGTTTCTGACCATGTCCATCCCTTTATGGCCACCATGTACCCATCCTCTGATGGCTACTTCCACCATGTCACAAAGCTCTAATCATTTCAAATTGGTTTCTTGAACATGACAATGAGTTCACTGTACTAAAATGGCCTCCACCAGATCTCAACCCAATAGAGCATCTTTGGGATGTGGTGGAACGGGAGATTCGCATCATGGATGTGCAGCCGACAAATCTGCGGCAACTGTGTGATGCCATCATGTCAATATGGACCAAACTCCCTGAGGAATGCTTCCAGCACCTTGTTGAATCTATGCCACGAAGAATTGAGGCAGTTCTGAAGGCAAAAGGGGGTCCAACCCGTTACTAGCATGGGGTACCTAATAAAGTGGCCGGTGAGTGTATATATAAAATATTAAACACTGTAATAAATTCATTGCTCTCTGTTGATATTAGTTAATGCATTTACTTACATTAAGTAAAAGTAATGGGAGCTTATAGTACCAAAATATTGTTATATATAATAAATAATATTGTTAGTGTAATTAATCAATACTAAGTGCTGAAACTCATCTTAAAGAGAGTTTTTTATTTAAATGTAATTTTTTTTATTTTAAATAGACTATTCAGTCAGTCTACGGTTAATTACAGGAATTCATTTTAATGATGTGTATTCAAGTGACCTTTTGTAAATATTTAATAATTTACCTGCAGGGAAATATTTTTACTTCAAGGGATGTTCAAAGGTAAAATAACTTGCATCCCTTAACTAATAAACTTTATTTAACATAACATCCATTAATGCACACATGAGATAAGCACAAATAAGTTGTATAAATGCTTGTTATGTAGTTTAAACTAGTTGCTATGCAGTGTCTAGGGTGTTTTGGTGGTTAAGCTGGTTGCTTTCAGGTCTGAAGAGTCAAGAGAGCTCACACCAAAGTCTCATTGAGATCCAGGTCTCTAAATATGGCTTGGGTTCCTCCTTCAGTGTAAGTCTACAGGATTTGTTCTTGCCTTTTTGTCATTTTTCAGGCGGAAAACACATCTTATTGCTTAGAAAAGTAATAGCACACAATTTGAGGTATCAAAATTGTAGCACAGATGGTGTGGGACCAGCATGTAACAAAATGTAATACTTACACTTATCTGAAGTATTACAACATGGCATATCTAGTTGCCAGGTGTTATTATAAGAGGCTGAAATGTATTACAAATCAAAAAATGATTAAATTAAGAAAACACAGCAAGAATTATCCACTCACAAAATTAAATCACCTTCAAAATTAAATCACCTTCATGTTTTGCCATATTACAAGAGTTTGTAGAAAAGCTTTGTAAAGGACAGCAGTCAGTGTGAAGTAACATGCGAGTATTACAGCACGCCTGTCTGCAGCATGTTGCGATGCTGTCGGAAGCGCTGACATCTTGCAGTAATCTCAAGAGTCCCAGAAGCAGGCAGAACGCATAAATTTTACAGCTGCCCTGTCAATGACCACTTTCACTGGAAGCTAGTGGGTCTTCCAGATGGAAGAAGCTCTCATGGGCCAATTATGCCTGTGAATTCTTTCTAAATAGCTCCTAGTACAATATTTTATCAGATCCTGTCCAGTCGACTACCTCTTTGCTCTTTCACGTTATCTTCTCTTTCACTTTATCTTCTCCTTTTATTGTATCAACTCAGAAACATGGCCTTGGCTTGTAGTTGACATGAAAAACTGAATATGTACTTTCGTAATTCATGTTGCTTGTGCAGTTTTTTTTAATGGTAGTGTATATGCATTTGCACTAAAATGGCACGGAAAGGTGATGATTAATGAAGTAAGACCAAAAATTGGACCAAATGTTTATGCACAGTTGTAAATTTGCATTTGGTAATTATTCATAGAGCAGATAAAATACTTATAATCATTTGTCATTTTGACTCATCCCTTTTCTTAAAAATTGGCTGAAATATGAGGTTTATCATTTGATAAAACTTTTATTTGATTTGATTAACATGTAGTACATGTTAGTAGATAATATTGTGGGCCAGATTTACTAAACGGGGCAAATTAGCATGAAAGCGCAATTACAAAAAACGCACAGATGGGAGTTCTGCGCGTGATCTACTGACGACACGCAAATTAAAGAACACAGATCAGCCGGATCATTCCCATAATGACCAACACAATCTACCAAGGGCAGCGCAAATTAGCATCTGGTTTAAGACATGCTTTTTTGGGCGGAAAATAATGGCGCAGATACCAGTAAATTGACTAGTGCACACCTTAGTAAATCACCTTGCGGGATTTATTTAAATACTCTCCTCCCATAAATTTTGCATCTGAAAGGGAAACTACAACAAATGCATATGCAATTAGGTCAGTTTTTAATTGTTTTGTTGGTTTTCTATATATTTTCCGTTATAACATTAATAACCATGATCATTTTGGTCACTATAATCGTGATATGAAATTGTCATATCGTTTCATCTCTATTTCTTAAACATGCTCTCATTTTTGCTAGGCTGACACACATTAGCTTTATATCATCCAGGCAAAAAAGAAATACACATTTGAGCATGACAAATTTTGTTTTGTTCCTACCTCATGATGCAGTTGGTCAGATGTAGCTGAATTATGATCGGCTGCTAAATGTGAGGGCAATTTCAATACGACCCGATTAGCATCATCAGATTATTGTGGGCCGAATTGTTTGATGGATGTTGGCAAAAATGAAAGACACAAGCCTACAGACAGACAGTACAACTTTTCTCCGTATGCAATTACAACCATTATGCAATAAATCTAGGTAATAAATGGTGAAATATCTCTGAGCGGTCAGGTAGGAGGATCTGTAAGTGAGCAAGGAAGGATAACAACGTTGTAGCGGGGTGTTGAGATGTCAGAAATATCTCTCCATAATCTTGGCAACGTTTCCTGGACTTCAAAGGCTGCAAGCCCCCGCAGGAGAGCTCTGAGTCATGCAGCACTTATTATTTATGCTCTTTACCAGATCTGTCAGTCAGCTGTTGGAGAAGGGCCAATTAATAATTTCTCTGTTTTCTTTCTCTCTGCATCTCTCTTATGCGATCATAGCTCATTCACACTGCAAACCTTTCCAAAACATGTCAACATGTGCTATTTTTGTCTTTGTTCTACCTCCCTCATGCAGACTAACAAAGCGGTGACTAAAGGGGACTTTCACCGTGCCAGCTCCAGCTCCAGACGTGCGCTCTTCCTCGCCGTACTGTCCATCACCATCGGGACGGGCATCTACGTGGGTGTGGCTGTGGCCCTTATCGCATACCTCTCCAAAAACAATCACTTGTAGCCTTTTCATGCCCAAACCACTCTTTCTTTTCAGCAGTCAGATAAAGACTGGTTTACTTTGGGATCAGCTTTTTGAGAAAACGCCCAAAGGTCACAATATGGGACTCACCAGCAATGTGTTCCACTCCTGCACTTTTAAAAGTCACGTTCCCATTTCATTGGGAACATAATTGTTTGTGTAAATGTCCTGATCACCTCTCTGCATTTTCTTGTGAATATGCCGACACCACAAAATTATTATTATTATTGTTTTTTTGTGCTCAACGTTTGTGCAAGTGCAAATCTAATGCTACACACATGATATTTTGGCCAAATTAAAGTCAATTTGAAATCAAAAGGGACCTCATTTACTTAAGTAAAGAACTGATTTACTTAATGCATGTTCCTGCTCATATTGTGCACATTGTTCCCAAGAAATCGTTCATCAAAATTGAATCTTTTGCTCCGCTACTGAAACAACTTTCCTATTTGTCATCAGATAGCATTGAATAATGGATGGCCGATCCAATAAATTCCCACTAGATGAAATCAAACCGGTTGCACCAGCTGTGCCTAAGTTACAACTTAGCCTAATTGCAAAAGAATTTTAGAAAGTAAAAGAAAGTACAACTTACACACTACTAAATATAATTTGTTGCACCATTAAAATTTGTTGAAACATAACTCTACGTATAAACTAAATATTTATGGAAGCCTCCAACCAGGAGTAACAGTCAGAATAAAACAGCAGATTGATTGAATTGCAGCGGATGCACACAAGACTGAGGCGCCAAGCACCAAGCACCAAGGGCAATCTCAGCACTTCAAATGGAAGTGTTTCCGCTGGTTGAATCCCCGTAGGCCTCCCATTCCTCAGCACACTCATTCAGTGGAGTTCACGGATGAGTTAGGCGGTTCACCTTTGGGTGAATTTAATTTCTCATTCGGGGCTCTCGAAAATGATGAACTGTTGATGGCAGCATCGAAGGGTAGCGGATGACTCGCCTAGGCCCCCACTATCTCGTGTGATGGCGCAGGCTGAGGCTAAGAAGGCTGCTGTGCTTGCCCGGGCCACCCTGTCCAGTGCTTTCGCGGTTGGATGATTGGTTTCTGAGCTCGAAGCGTGATGCACAGTTGCACTCTGTCCCAGTGCCTTTCTTCCAGAAAGTGCACCAGGAGCTCCCTGCATGCCATAGCCATCCTGCAGGTCCATCAGGTTAAGGCATTGAAAGAACTGCATGAGGGCAGGTCCAACCCAAGGCTAATGAAGGAGCTGTGCTCAGCGACAAAAGTCACGACACAGGCTAGGTGGACATCTGGGTCAGACGATGTCCACCTAGGAGCGCCATCTATGGCTTAACCTTGCCGAGATGCAAGATGCAGGGAAAGTGCGCTTTCTCGACGCTCCCATCTCCCAAGGTGGCCTCTTTGGCAACACTGTTGAGGTCTTCTTACAACAGTTAAAAGCAGTGAAGAAGCAGATGGAGGCAATCAGACACATCCTGCCTCAGGTCCCGCGCTCTGTCTGCCTATCACCGAGGCCATCCCCCTCAATGGAGGTTCTCCCGCAGGAAGTTGACCCATCCTTCAGGTCTATCAGGTAGTGAAATTGCAAGCCCTCCCTCAGGTTTGAGACAGACACAGCCTTATCTCTGCAGTGTCCAGTTCATACCCTGTGCATTTATTTGGAGCGCACAGAGCTTTAGACGATCTGAACAGCTCTTTGTCTGTTTCGAGGGACAGCAGAAGGGGAAGGCTGTCTCCAAGTAGAGGATCGCCCACTGGATTGTGGATGCCATTTCTTAGGCATACCAAGCCCAGGGCGTGCTGTGCCCCTGGGAATACGAGCACACTCCACCAGTGGAGTTGCTTCCTCCTGGGCACTAGTGAATGGCGCCTCCCTGTGACAGACATCTCTAGAGCGGTTGGGTGAGTTACACCCAATACTTTTGCAAGATTTTATAATCTCAGAGTGGATCCGGTTTCGACCTCAAGTGTTACTGGGTACGAACGGGTAAATGGTTGGGTATATCACTTGCACTCAGTGCCTTTCCCCTAGGAGTGTTGAAATTAATCGTTGGAGATGTGGACGATTCTGCATCGATGCAGTAATAGACCATAATCGATTAAAGCCTATATCTCTGACTTCTCACGCTAGGAGAGAATTGTGCTACCAAGCCCATTACTCATGCTATGCCCCTTTTCAGGAGAGGCAGTATACTTGGGCTTAGTGCTCCATATGTGTTGATTAGCTATTGCTAAAACCCATTTGAAGTATTTTTCACTGTTTCCCTGTCTGTAAACCCTGTGTCTTCCCCTAAACAGAGCCTCGCTCTGCCTCCAGTCGCTGTGGTTGTGAGTTTCTCCCTTCTCAGGCACCCTTCACAGAGAGTTTCTCCATTTGTGGCACCTCCTGTTTGGTAAGTCAATGTGATGTATTTTCCACGTCTGGCCCTTGTGGTACGAAGGACTACTGTAACTTACTTGGGGCATTGGAAAGGTTATGATGTGGCCTGAGTTCACTTGTTCTTAGGCACGTAGCTGTCTTCTGACATCTGCACCGTCAAACCTTGTAACACAGTTCAGCTGGTTGTGGCATTTAGCATAGGGACCACTAGTGTCGTCAATACATCGACACAATGTTGTGTAAGGGTGTATTCACACCAGGAAAGTCCGATAGGTCACTTACTTTGGTCCGGACCAAAAATTTTTTTTTTTTTTTTTTTGGTACGGTTCGCTTTCACACTGCTCTTTTTGCAAGTGAACAAAAATTTGTAAACAAAACCACACGTGTGCTAAGGTCGTACATTCATTGGACAAGGATTCTCAAGTAGGGGAATCAGGAAGTGCAAAAAAGGCTCAGCATGGAGATATTTCGTACTGCAATATTTGTTATTTGACTAATTTTGTGTTATTCTGTACAAACGCAATATGAAGAAACTGCGCAGAAGATGGATAAGGTATAAAGTTTTCATTCATAGAGAGTGGGGCTATGTTCACACATTCAAATAATGAGATTCTTATTGTATATACTGCTAACAAGTGCTGTCAATGTTAACGCTTGTGATTAAGTTTGTCCAGTTTAACGCAGCATCATCCTTGTATTGTAATCGTTACATTATATGAACTGCAAAAGCTTTTTTTTGCATATGCCCGATTAGACTAAAGAGAACGCTCTGTATGTGAATGTCCTGATGCACACACTCATTCATTCATTCCATTCCAATGATGCACACACACGACGCGCAGAAAGACGCGCAACAGTATCGTGTGGCCAGACAGCGCGCCGGAATGGAATTCTCTTTCGCACTTGAACAACAATAACACAAACCATTATGCCAAAATCTCCGACTACGGAAGCCTGTTAACTCAAAGCCGCAGTGCTTTCTTGCAATTGGGTCGGTTCATGTTCACACCGTAAACGAACCGTACCAGAGTTCGTTTGGAACCGTACCGAGACCACCTCTTCAGCTGGGTCTCGGTTCGGTTGTTTGGTCCGCACCCGAGTTCGATTGCTGTATTCACACCTGCCCAAAAGGTCCGCACCAAAGGGGGGAAACGAACTAGAGTTCGATTCAATCGAACCAAACAAGGCAGGTGTGAATACACCCTTAGTGACAGATAGGGAACGTCTTGGTTACTATTGTAAACTCTTTTCCCTGATGGAGCGAACGAGATGTTGTGACCCTCCTGCCACAACACTGAACTGCCTGAAATGGCCAGGACACTGTCTCGGCTCCTCAGCACTAACCTGAATGAGTGGAGCAAGCCATCTCCTTTTATACCTGTATTTAGAATCTATTGCATGCAAATTCCATTTACCAATTATCATTGGCCTTTTCTGAAATTTCAGAGGTACATGGGGCTCCAAAGGGCTACCCCTAGAGTCACTACATCGACACAATGTCTTACGACGTTACTCAGCCTCTAGTGTAGACTTTATGTTCCAAGATCTTATAAAACGGCTGGTGCAACCCCACCCATTTTTTTTTTCCTTGTTGAATTTTATTTCACTCAGAAATCAAATTATAGAAGTTAAATGGGCTGTGAACAGTATTTCATCTTGCCTTTAATATTGGGTTGTCACAAACAGTATTTGGTATACAGATCTAACCTGTCAAAAGATCCGAACAAGATCTGAATTAGAATCTGAACAATCAGATGACTTTTCTTGAATGTTTTTTTGGATTATGTAAAGCATCTATTTGAAGTGCCACAGTGCTTTCAATCCTTTTTAAGAGGTTCTAAATCTTAAGGTTTGTGAAACACGAAGGGGCATTTTCAACACTCTTTTGATATTACAGAAACAAAATGAACATGAAGCCATATAGATGGGTTGCTCAAGCCTGCGTGTGGACTTTTTTCTGAATGTAAGGGTGAAGTCATTCTTGTGGGGCTGTAACATTCACTATGAACTATGTCTATCTATAAAGCTGTAAATGCCTCTGTAAAATTTTCTCCCATACTTTGGGAAACACCTCTTGCCAGCAAGCTCATGCTAATTAAATGTGGTCTTTTCATTCAAACATGGTGCCGGTGTGTTTGTCTGATTTGGGCCATTTGATCTCATAATGTCTTTTTACGTTATGTTAATATATTTTATGTTTATGATGCAGTGTAAAAAAAAAGAAGGTTCACAGACAGACAGATAGAAACTTAGATTTGTCTAATTTTCCAAGTCTTTATCTAGAAGTGCATCTTATTTAATATTGTACATTTTATATTAATCTTGAACTTCTTCATGCTGTGGATTCCCTCATTCATAAATGTACGTTCATGGAACACCAATAAGAACACATTTGCACACTGCATTTGCTCCAACAATACAAACTTAACATTAATTCAGTTCTGTCAGGACCACTATCGTCAAATACGATTGACAATTAGCATACAGTTAGGATTGGCGGTATGGTTCAGTTCTGGGCAAGAACTCCCTGCGCATCCATGGCAGCCTAGCATGGATAAGAGCAGGGAGAGCAGCAATAACCCCCCTTAGGGTAAACAGAACAGAACCAACATGAATGTATTGCAGATCATTAATTCAAGATTTTAACATAATTCAAGAATTTATTCTGATTCAAAGGGGAATCAAAATGCCAAATCCTGACTGAGACAGGAGGAGCTGGGGAGGGAGGAGGGTAATTCGCTCCTGAGAAACGCGATAGCTGCTGATAATACTGAAGGAGCTTATATATGAATACAGTGATAGGCGTCGTATTCCGGTAGACGCGGATCAGCTGAGAGTCAGCCGTGACCTATTTTTTACAGTCTATGGCCGTGACGTGCCAGAACTGACGCTGCACTTAATTTCTGTATTGATTCAGGTAATATTTGAAGTGATGGTCGCTACAGATTTTATAGTACTGTAGTGAGTATGTTATGGAAACATTAGGAAGAGTTCTGTTCAATTACAGAAGTCCCTTGACAACATGAAATCATGAGAGGACGACCCAGCAGAACCTCAAGGTGATTGACATTGTGGACAGCATTTGATGATTTGTGGTTCTGATTATTGACATCTGAATGGAATGGCAAAGAAACAGTTACGGAATGTTAATTTATGTTAAAGTAAGTAAGGTTAAATTTAGATTAAGTTTATATTATGGTTGTAACATGAAGTTAAGGTAAATTTAAAAAGATAAATGGAAAACATTATAGAAAAAAACATAGTTTTTATGGTGTTATTATCAGTGTTTTAAAGATAGTAGGAAAAATCAAGAGAACACAATGAGCAAAACGACCAAACGTTCGGCATCAGCAGATGTTGTTCTATATAATCAAATATTGTACTAACACACACATTTTGAGGGTGAATAAAGGAAGAATTTGCAATTTCTGGTAAACTAGTTTTTTTTTCAAGGTAGACAGCGAGACCTGTCTCTTGACTTGTCTATCATGAAGTTTTCATTCTACAGTTCCCATGGGCTGGCCGAATAACTAATCACCAAATGTAATGAAAAAGAAGAGATATTTCCACAATTTGCCAGAGATATTGCCTGAGGTTAGGATCTCAAATTGTATATATTTTGCATAAACAAAAATAGGCAACTTGTTAAACACTGCTTCCTAATTAAGGGAACAGTCGTGTTGTCTGAACAGGATGCCCATCTAGAAGAAATTAACTCTGTAAAGCCTTACATATGAAATAATAAAACATATAATGCAATGCAATACAATACAATAATGACTGAGAGATGAACAAATAAACATCATCTTGAAATATTACTAACAATATAAAATTTCATTAAAATCATAAAAGATTTTACAAGACACGTTTACTGTACTACGAACTGACGGGGGACATTTTTAGAATTACACTTAAAGGCCTTTTACTTGTTAAAAAAGTATAAACTATTAATCAGACGACAGAAGGCATAGTTCAACAGGTTTTTCTGCAAAGTTTGGGCTTTTTTAGGGTTAATAAAGACCTTAGCATTAACTATTACACTTGGACAGAAAGACAGGATGAGAGAGAGTTAATGTGCGTTGGTGGGTTTATGTAACA